CCTAAGTTTGCCTTTTTTTATTTACTAGAACACTCAATAAACATGGATTTTGTAATTAACACATTGTTTTTTAACCATTAAACTTTATTTATAATTTTCAAGATACTATTTTATCTAACCTTTTAAATAGAAATTATTATCAAATAATTACATAATTATAATAAAGTCAATGACAAGTTAACCCTCAATAAAATCGCCTTTTATTTTTTTCTATTTAACAATTTCTAAATTTAGCTTTAAATACAATTTTCAAGGTACTATTTGTATTCAACTTTTTTAATAGAAGTTATTATCATATAAGCACACATTTATTTTTTAGTCAATGACAAGTAAACCCTCAGTTTTCCACGAAAACCACACACACGAAAACTCCCAGGGACTTAATTAATTAATTAATTGTCGCGCTTCTTTAATTGAAAGCCCATTCAAGCTGAGCGCATGAAAAACTATAATTAATATTATTGTGGGCAGGCGAAATGTCGGCGAAAGGTTAACATAAAAACCATTTAATTGTCGTGGGTGAATGGCAATTGCGACTCCAAACAGAAGCCAAATGAAAATCTCTCTTGGCAATTTGTCGTCTCTTGAAATTTGGGTCATACGGAAATGAAAGCCAAGTTAGCAGCCAGTCAGCCAGACAAACAGACAAACAGACCAGCAGACAACCAGCCAGACACACTCAAAGCAGACGAAACGTTGTAGCATTTAAATGTCAAATCAGGTCCCCAAAAAAAAATAAAAAACAAATACAAAAACAAAAAAATAAAGACCAAGAAAAACTGGAAAAATGGCAATGGGTGGGAGGGCAAAAACACCAAATGACAGGAGCAAATAAATCAAAATTAAGTGGCGACAAAATTAAAGTGAAATGTTTGCCCACAGGCTTAACTTGGCCCCCAAAAAAGGCCTAATAGAATGGGCAGGAAATGACTAAAGTTATGTTAAGTGTGAAGTATGTGTGGGTTTTCAAATGACTGACTAATACTAGAATTCTTAGAGAAACATAGATAGCTTAATAGTTTTATTTTCCTAACAAACTCTTTTTAAAAATTAAAATCATGGAAAACTTAAATCAATTTAATCAAAGGAATTCTGTGAATAAATAAATTGTCCTACATTTCAAAAGTATTGTAATACTTAAATGTGTATTTATTAATCTTTAGAAAGTTGTAAACCTGCTTGGTTTAGAATTCTTAGGATTTGCATGCACCATTTAACTGTTATAATTCACGGCATTCTGATTTTCTGAAAGAAAATTCACCATTTCAGCATTTAATTCTCTAAGACTTGCTGCATCTGTGGGCTTATGTTTTCCGTATGAATATGTAATACTTATATAATGCACCGGGTTTCTTTAGATCAAATTAAATTCGTTGTCCAAGCAATTAAATGCATGCAAAGTTAATTGAGAGAGAAGCAACAGCAGCTGATTGGTGCTGCTGTGCTTGCAATGTTCATTGCTGCTGTTGCTGTTGGGACTTTTTTTTTGTTTTTTTTTGCAGTCACATGCATAATGATATATGTGAGTATATATGTATTTACCTGCATAAACAACGAATAAAACTATGGGGGGATATGGGTATTTTTGGAAGGGGTTGCACACACACTTAATTGCTGCCGACTTCATTGGAGTTCAAATTGTTTCGCTGCACATAAAATACTCGAGACAAAACATAAATTGTTTGCACTGTACGAGGCAATTTCCAACTTTGTTGTTTGTTCCCAAGGAAAAACCCTTGAGGAAATGCAGCAAGTTCGTAGGCTTTTCCTTTGAAGCAGGCAAAATGCAAAACACCGTTAAACGTATTTTAATTACAACAATGTGGGAAAGCCATTAAAAACAAAGCAAAGAAACAAACAAACAAGAAAAAAAAAGCCGAGAAATGAGAATTAAAATAATCAGAAAAGCAAACGCTAGCTAAGCCAAAACGCAAACAAAGCTGAGCAAAAAAGTTCAGAAAGAAAAAATATGTATTTAAAACCAAACAACAGCGAACGCAATTAAACAAAAACAAAAATAATAATTAAGGAAAATTACTGAGATGCAAAAAGAGAAACCAACAATGTTTTCATGATAATTTTATTGAGGCGGAGTTAATCTTTAAAGCTGTTTAAATTTTTTGCTATGAAAACAGTCGAAAAACCATATAATTTTAAATTGAAGTGAAGGGAAGAGGTTAATACACTTTTTATTCATAATTAAATTTATGAAAAACTGTTATGTGAATATGTTAGTCTTTTTTTTATTCATAGTTAATTAATTTAAAAAAAAAAATAGTATTGCATATTTAAAGCAATTTTGATATGGGGAATTTGTTTAACTTGAAGATTTATTTCCCTTGCAATATCGTTTAAATCAAATCTGCTCAACAGCACTTGCATCACATCACATAACATTTTTCATATTTTAGTTTTTTTCCAACTAGTTAGCAGTGTTTGAGCTTGGCCAATTTACTTTGTCTCAGCCATTAACCAAATACAAGAAACGGTTTTTTCTTTTCCACCTATTTTTCCCATTAAAATCAACTAAGACAAAGAGTGTGGGGCCAGGTCTTCTTTTATTTCTCATTAGCTGGCTTAAAGTTTCCTTTTCTTTGCACAGTCGTTTTTCCACTGTTTTCTGGCTTGGCTTTTTCACACGCTTCGTTGGCAAGTTTATAAAAAAATCATAAAATTAAAAGAAAGAAATAAAGAAAAGCGACTTGAAAATGCAAATAGAAAAGGTTGCACACACACACACACACACACACACACACACACACACCAAACAAAAGCCACAAAAAATAATCATAAAAAGTTGACAACTTGTTGACCCCTTTGTTGTGTTTGTTGCTATTGGGGATCACATTCGTTGCGGGTCATAAAATACAATTTTTAAAACGCACCATTTCGTTATCAATGTAAATTTACATCGCCTCTCTATTTTTACAAAAACATTCGGTTGCAACAGCCAAAAAAAAAATAGGTGGAAGTTTAAATTGAATTTTGGATTTTGGATTGAATTGAAGGAAATCAGATGTCTTTAATTTGTACTTATTTCTCTGCCGTAGTTAATACCTTACAAAATTTGAGATATATTAAGAACTGGTTTTTTGGTTAATAACCAAAAAAGATTTTTAAAATTAATTTAATTATTAAAATATTTTAAAACCGAAAATATAACAATTATTTCCAAGGCTTAGTCATCATTAACTACCCTAGTTAGTAAAAATTTAAGAAAACAGCTTTATTTTATACCGCACTAAAAACTGGCTTTAAATGTGTTCATAGTTACTGCATATATATTGAATGTTTTTTCAAACATTTTTGCATGATATTTTCAGGCAGCAGTGGCTTTAAATCTTCGATTCCCGTTGCTGACATTGGTCGTTTTGCTGCCGCAGTTGTGTGTTGCTGTAATTTTCGCATAAATTTCCAATAATTTATGCAATGGCTTGCATTGTTGTCGCTCTCGTTGCGCCGATGCCTGAGTTTCAGTTTGAGTTTGAGTTTGACTCCAAGAGTCTCAGTCTCAGTCTCTTCGGCCATTTTCCTCCGCTTGTTTATCGGATTTTTTATTGTCATTTGTGTTTTTATTGAACAGTTTGTGACATTTTACGATTTTCAAAGTGAAAGGTACATATTTGGTAAATTGCTATGGCCACAAAGAAATTCAACTCTCCGGATACTCGTCTGTGGAGTTTTGCTTCGGTTTAGTTTTGCTTTTGCTTTAAGTTTCGGTACTTGCAACTGCCTTTTTTTTTTTGGTCTTTACCAAACTCCATTCCTAACTGGTTTTTCCCCCTGTCCCCCTTCCCGTTTTTCCAGGGATGAGTTCAAGCCGCTGGCGGCTTGTTGAAAATGGGGAAAATTGCGCTTTATATATGGTCCATAAAAGTTAATAAGTAACCGCAGTCGGAGTAGCAAGTGCCAGTCACGAAACTCTTTTTTTTTGTCTCGATTTAAATCGCAATGAATCGATGGCAAGCCTTCGACTATTCATACGGTTTGATACTCACGCGTGAGACACGCCATTTTTTTAGGGATAATTCTTAAAGAAATTAATTTAACTTAAGAAAGAAGAAAGAAAGAAATTAATTTAATTTAACTTTTAAGTTCGAATTATTTTAGAAATAAAAATGTGGTAATCCTTAAGAATATTAAAGGAAACATTTTGCAAACAAATTAGGTTTTAACTACTTATTAAAAAAAAATAAATAAATTGATCAGCTCAAATCTTAACATTTTTAAAAGAAAATAGTTTACTTAAACTTGTAGCATTGCTAACTTCTTGCCCAAACCAAGAACTATTCACGTTCATGGCAACTTTTTCGACCGAAGATGAAAGTTCTTCATTTGCTCCACTCTCACCGTGGCAAAACATTAAAGTCAATTACAGTGAGACCCCCGCTACAAAGTTTGACGCTAATTTTGGTCACGTGTGTCACACACAAAAATAAAATCACAAAAATAATTGTTCAACTTAAATGTGTGCGCTAAATCCAAAAGCAAAAAAAAATTTCCTTTTTTGGCAAGCGCGAAAATCAAAACACAATTAAATGCAAAACAAAAAATTGAATTGAGCAAAAAGCGAATAAAAGAAAATAAATATAGAAAGGAGCCGGCAAAGAAGTTGCATCGAAAGGTAAACAAACTGAAGAATGATTTGGCGGCAAGCCAAAAATTAACACAAAATATCTCAAGAAAACGACGGAAGGCGACAAAATGCAATGGCATATTAAAAGGAATATGGCGGCAATATCTTCAACTCGATTTGCATATTGCAAGAAGAGGAGAGTGCGACAAAATTGCACAAAGAAAATAAATATTTGTGCGAATCGAAAATTGATTTTGGCAGAAAAAAAGAGACGAGAAAATCATCACAAAATTTGATGAAGTAAAAACGACCATAAAATTCGCAATGTGCTTTTATTAGAGTGAAAAACTTGATTGGAAAATCTATTTTAGTTGATCTCATTTAAATTAAATTTCTTTGAAAATAAAATAAAGTTACTACTTACCAAATCCAATTAAAAACAAGTCGATTTCCTTATCCTGGAATGAGCTGCAAAGAATAAATATATTTCATTAGTTAAATTAAAATTGAATTAATCAAAAGAGCAAAATAAAATCCAATTCCTAACCTACACCAACCCAATTCTTATTTTCGCTTTAAAAGGAAACCCTAACCAATTTGCATAAAAAAAGGTTAAGCAACAAATGAAGCAACGAAATGCATGGAGTAAATCATATTAAAGGAAACCAAACCCGAAACGGAACAAAACCACGAGGGGAAGGAAAACAACAAACAAATAAATCTAAAAGAATGCAGAGGCGTGGAAAGAGGGGGTGGCGTTAGTGGTGGATGTGGTTGGGGGAGGGGGGTTCTACCATTGTGAGGTAAACATGATGTTGCAAGTGTTCAATAGGACAGCGAGTTGGGGGGAGTGGCAGATTCCAGAGTGGATAGGTTGGATTATGGCTGCAAAAACTAACAAACCATAAAAATCCGCACATAAATTACAAGACAGAGGCGAAGGAAAAAGTGGGAGTATGGAAAAAACAGGAAAAAAATAGCTGTCAAGGATTTTGTTTTAAAAATATTATAAAATTTAAGAATTTTGTAATGCTTAAACTGATATTCCATTTTCAACTAACTTCTTTGTTAAAAAAAGAAATCAACAATTTTTTATTGCTTTTATTTTCAATTGCAAATAACACCGATATTTAATTATATTGACATAATAAAAAAAAATGTAAATGTAATTTTTCCCAGTGTATCGATAGTCGAAGAAGCAGCAGCTGCGCCGACGATGGGCAACATACGCAAATGCAAGCAGTAGAAATTTATGAGCACCCGTTCACAGGCAGCGACGAGGATCCGCCGACAAAACTGCCACAAGTGGCCAAAAAGATAGAAGCCAGCAGGAGAAAAGTGGAGGAACATGATGATGGTAGTGGTAGTGGTAGCCAAGTATACATACATAAGACCCCGGCCAAGTGCAATGACAAAGGCAAATAAATTACAGCATCATTTGCAGGCAAAAGCAGCCGACAAAGTGGCAAGGAGCAGGACCAAGAAAAGTTTAACTGCCAAAGATTGGGCAACAACAAAAAAAATGAAAAAAAAACTGGGGGAAAAAAATAAAAAACCAGACCCCAACCAAAGGAGAAATAATTACAAGCGTTACTTTCTTCAGACAGCCGCATCCTCTTTCTCCTTTTCTCCAGTTTACCCTTCTCTTAACTTTAGCATTAATCAATTGTAATTGCATTTTGCCCAAAAAAGAAATTAAAAACGAATTAAAAAAATTAACTGATTTTTACAAACTATTGATCAGACTTTGGTTAATCAAGAAAAACAGTTTTTAAGTTATTTTTATTTTAATTTAACATAAACCAAAATTTCCTTTACGTAATATATTAACATTTTGTACACGTAAAAAAAAGTTTTTATGTTTTTATTTTTAATGCATATTTGCAAACCACCGTTTTACTTCCATTGTTTATTTATATATTGTAAAATGTATTTTGACATCAAGCATATTTGAAGCACCTTATGAAGGTTTTAAAATCGGTTAAAATCGGTATTCATTCCATATAAAAAGTTAATAATTTGATTATTTTTGCTAGGAATCCTGAATCCCTCGTTTCATCGGCAGTTACAAATTATGAATCACTTGGGAGACTCCATCACCATTTTGGTATGACAACAATACAAACAGAAATTAAATTATTTTTTTTCCTTTTTTTTTCTTATTTTTTTATTTATTTTTTTTTTTTTGTAATTGAGCCCGCATTGTTGGAATGATTGTTGGGAACGGGTTCGCGCTCTTGTCTCGGGACTTTATGATGTTTTATTGCTTCTTCTTTTCCAACTACCGCCACTTCAGATTCGTTTTCTTGTTGCCCTGAAAGGGTAAGGTCCCGGACAAAAATATTAAATTATTTTTATTCAAAATTTAACGGCTTTTACATAGTGAAAATAAGTGATTTGTTTGTATTCAGAATTATTAAAATAATATTTAAGGTTGTTGTTAAATGTTGTAGACCATTTTTTGTAGGTGCAATTTTTGTAAAACAAGTACTTGCTAATTTCAACCATATCCATTTTTAAATGAGTAATGAAAACTGGTAAACTTTTCTAGATTTCGTCAAGTTTTTTCAGTTTACAACTTATGACGCGGACTGTATTGGGTACACTCCCAAAAGTTATCTTGTCGGCAAAAGTCTTTGGCTTGGAAAAAAGCATTTTCAAGTGCTTTTTTCGCATTTGCCGCTTGACTGATGCCTTGTTGTTGTGGAAATTTGCTGTTATAGTTGTTGTTAAAAAAAAAATTGGTGTTGCAATTTTTGTTGTTGTCGTACATGTTGTTGTCGTACATGTTTTGCTGATATTGTTGTTTATGTTTCGGCTTGTTTAGTTGTGTTTTCTCCACATTTTTGTGTATGTTTATTTTTTTGTAATATTACGTATACGTCTGCCCAACTATTGTTGTTTTAATTGGCCCCATGTTGGTGTGGCTTTTCGTATTATTTTTGCAGTTTTATTGCATTTTATTTTTGTTATTGTGCCCTGCTCAAATTGCAGGCACATACGTCTGGCGATTATTAACTTGCAGATTGCACATTTTACAGTCAATTTGGTGCGCAAATCGAGTTTGTGTTTTTTGCTCCCTTTTTTTCAGTTTTCACCCCTCTCCATTTTCATTTTTCCATCGCCAGCTTCTTGCTCTGTTTCCCCCCGAACTTTATGTGCAATGTCTTTTGCTGGAGTAAAGTTGTGAAAAAGTTCACTGCACCAGGTGCATATTCTTCAGAATATGTTTTTGAATGATTACAATGTGCAACATGGATTATTAAAAAAAAATTAACTGTAATATATATATATATTAGTGTTATTATTTGACTTCAGAATCTTTAACATTTAAAAAAACATTAAAATTGGAAAAAAAATTTAATTCCATTATGTTTTTAAATAAAATTGTTGCCAAAGAAAACTAAAGAAATCTAAATGCGAACTTTTTAAACCCAATGACCAAAATGATTTACCAGATACACTTAAACTTTAATTAATCAAGGCAATAAAATATTTTATGATCTAGCCTTTGTAAAAATATGTTTTCAAATAAAATTGTAACCAAAGAAAAACCAAAAAAAATTGTAACGCTAACTGATTAGACTAAATAACCACAAGTGTGAGCCAGATATACTTTATTTTATGGTTGTAATACGGTTCCTTTTCTAACCGGGCTCTACTGTGATGTCCAAAAGAGCCGCCGACACAAACAAGCCTACAAATCTCCCATAATAATAATTGATAAACACTCGACAGGTTCATGAACCCCATACACGCACACAAATATAACCAAAACGAAGACAACAAAAAATAATACTATAAGTAAAAAAAAAAATAGTAAGGAGAAGTAAGAGACAAGGGAGATAGAGCTGGCAGAAACTTCATCGTTTAGTCATTTTGCTGAATTTCATATAATTATTTTTAGCTTCAGTTTTTCTGCCTTGAATCGTGAGTCACGTGGCGGGGGGATTCCCCTCGCTGCCTTCCCTTTGCCAAATGGTCTTTTAATTGTTTAGCAAAAAGATGGAAGAAAAGAGAGCAACTCCGATTCGCTGGCTATTAAAGTAATTATGGAAAGTTGATGATTTTTACGCATTTGGCGAAGTAAATTGATTTTGATAGTTTATTTTAAATATTCCCAGACTCAGCTGGAAATTTGCGTTGTTTTTTTATAAGGGTGAGACTTTGAAATGCACTAAAATCATCGTTGTAAACAGTGCATATACACGGAGAAAAACAAATAAAATATACTCATTAATTAAAAAAATAATGAAACTAAAAATACCTACATTTTTAACCGCTGATCATTGAAAATTAACAATAATGTTTTATTTTTTATTTTCAATACATTATGATTTTCAGTGCTTTCATTTTAATTATATTTTCATTTTATATTTATTTTAATCAGTCTCAAGTTATGATAATTAAGATGAATAAAATAAAACAAAGATGATATGCAAAAATGGAAAACAATCTCCCACAGATATATGGTTTTTTTTTTGCTTTGTTATGCGCTCTGTGGGAATTTTTTTTGTAACCGGTCATGGGCCAAAGCAAATCGGTTTTGAAATGCAATAAAGCGTGATTTTCCAAACTGAAGCGTAACGAGCAACGAACGAGCAGCAACAAAGGCAGCACGCACATATATACATGGATCGAGTTATATATACATTCAAATACATAGGTACACATGGGTACATTGCAAAATAAACACCTGAAGCGAGACAGATAGGGCAACAACAATAGCAAACACAATTCGTAGGGCCAAAAACTTTATCTCTTTGTAGCCCCCAGGGGCGAAAAGGGGTTAAATGGAGGATGGGTAAGGGGGAAATCGAAAGTGAACCCAACCCTATATATCATCTCAGCCAAAACAAACCTAACTAACCCACAAAATCAAGGTGATTTTGTTCGGTCGAATGCAGCAGAACAAAGTGGCTAAAAAAAAAAGAGAAAATGCAGATGGAAAACATTAAAACATTTTAAAATTCATGTGGAAATTGTGTGGAAACGTTTAACGAAAAAGTAAGCCAAAAAAGTTTCTATAAAAAGCAATCCACAAACAATTATTAATTAACCACTTATGAAATGCATCATCAAACAGATGATCGGGCATTAAGTTGATATGATAAATGATAGCAAGACACAATCAATGTAAACAATTACGTAATCAATCAGATAAAAACTTGATTTTCACAAATCTTTTTTATCAATTAAAATTGTTCAATTGTGTTTTGGATTACAGTATCAATAAATAAGTGGTATAAGCGATAACCAAGTGTGATAGTATTTCTGGTATAACAAATCGATAAGCAAAGCTCAAAAATCAATTTAGTCACCAGACACGCAAAAATTTATATAATTAATGATTTTAAGCCACATCCGATTATAATCGATAGGCAGCAAAGCGATTAGTTCGATATATTAATAATCAAATGAGTTACAGATGCGCAATTATACTGATTAAATTAGATTCCAAGTCGATT